GAGCAGCTGGGAGCCTGTGGGACAGGCAGCCTCAGCATGAGCCTCTGGGTCACTCCGGGGGAGGAGGGCAGTGTCTCAGGTCACCGACTCCCTCAGCCCCGCCCTGCTGGGTCACCACCAGCTTCGTGGGTGGCGCCACACTCCTTCGGCAGAGATGCTTTGGGGAAGGGAGTGGCAGCGGGCAAGCAAGAGGCATCTGTAATTAACAGTGACGCGTGGCTGTTGCTTTGTCCGGCTCCCCGCCTGATGGAATGGCACAGATACCCACCCACAAGCCTGTGTCACAGCCTGTGTCACGGCCCGTGAAGCATCGAGTCACGAAGAAGCAGAGGGATTTCCCCCCGCAGTTTCCCCAGCAGGTAACAGCAAAGACGCAGTTGGAACACAGGTGCCACCCGAGTGACCTGGAGGCCACCCCAGCTGGGCTCCCGAGTGGACATCCAGGCACAGTTCCCAAGTGGTGAATGTGTGAGTTTACTTGGTGCAACAACCTGTTAACACCCCGTTGCTGTGATCCATGCGCTGTGTCGTGGAGCTTTCAGTGCCTGCCTCCTCCGCACACAGAAGGTTCAAGCGGTGAACTTTTTGGCACCAGGCTTGGTGGTCACACATCCCTTCCTCTCCTGAGGTTAGCCACTCCGCTGCGGGCAGTTCCTGGACTTCCTGAGCCAGTGCCAGTTCCCTGTGGAGTGGAGCGAAGCAGGCACAGAGCTTGTAACTGGCTCTCAGGGAGCAGAACTTGGGACGAGAACGGGAACAGAGAGGCTGCTGGGGACGCGACCTCGTATCACTCTCGCCTTCTGACTGCAGGTGTCTGCCAGACTCGGGCTTGGGGCACATCTACTGGATCTGTACGTCATTTTAAAGAAAGATTTATTTATTTGAGAGGCAGAGAGAGAGAGAGATCTTCCATTGCTAAGTCACTTCCCAAATGGCCACACAGCCAGGGCTGGACTAGGCAGGCGCCAGGAGCCGGGAGCTCCTGTGTGGGTGTGGGAGTCCCAGTATGTGGACCCCACAGAGCACTCACTCTGCTTCTCTCATCCCTGTTCCTACAACTGCCAATGAAGTTGCCTTACGTCTGCGGTTTCTGCACTTGAACTGACCCAAAAAGGCCTCTGTGTGTCAGAGCACCACATGGCTGGAGAAAGGGTCCAGTCGCACACCCGACGTGAGCAGTCGCCAAGCACGTGGCTGCAGGGTGGACTGGAATATGAGCTACTCATCGCTAACATCCCCGTCTGCCTACTGGGGCTTTTCTTGTGGTCCAACAGGTTTCCCTGGTTTGTAATTTGCACTTGTAGGTGGAGCTGGGAGCTTGGACCCTGCCCAGCTAGGAAATATGTCTGGCCACTAAGGGTCCTGATGACCCTCCGCAACTCCTGGGGCATGAACTGAGAAGCAGCGCCCACACGCTACTTTGAGAATATCAGTCACTTCTCAAAGATCATCTCTTGGGCTGGCATTGTAGCATAGCTGGCAAAGCGGACACTGGCAATGCCGGCATCCCATGCTGGGCAATCCAGCTCCCTGCCAGAGGATGGCCTGACCGCTCGGGCCTCTGCAGCCTGGTGGGAGCCCCGGCTGAGGTTTCAGGCTCCTGGCTTTGCTTCAGTGCAGCCTGGCCATTGCCGCTATTTGGGGAGTAAGCTAGTGGACGGAAGACCTCTCTTTGTCTCTTCCCTGTGTGTATTTCTGATACTAATTAGTTATTGATCACCTTAAAGCTATAGAAAAATCGTTGAATTTCTTTTTTTATATATTTATATTTATTTTTATTGGAAAGGTGGATAGACAGGAGGAGAGACAGAAAGGAAGATCTTCTGTCCAATGGCCACTTCCCAAGTGGCCACAACGGCTGGAGCTGAGCCAATCCGAAGCCAGGAGCCAGGAGCTCTTCCGGGTCTCCCACACAGGGTGCAGGGTCCCAAAGCTTTGGGTGGTCCTCGACTGCTTTCCCAGGCCTCAGACAGGGAGCTGGATGAGAAGCAGGACTGCTGGGACATGAACCAGGGCCCATATAGGATCCTGGTGTGTGCAAGGCGAGGACTTTAGCCGCTAGGCTATTGCCCTGGGCACTGAATTTTTTGCTGAACAATGCCCCAAACTAGTTTAAAGTGTTGTTACAGAACTCCAAACCTGGGTCCCACATGACACCCAGAAAGTTGACACTGCAGTGACTGAAGAAAGGAGGTGTTTGTGGCAAGGCACAGAGCAGGGAGTCAGGCAGCTACTGGCTTAATTCCAGGGCTCCCTGCAGACTTAGGGAGAAGGTTCTAGAGGCTGAAGTTGGGGCTGAGAGATGCAAGTACCTGGTTGCTCAGTGGAGTTTGTGACCTTCCTCTGGGTGGTTGGTGACACCGCATTCCCAGGGAGTCTGTGGCGGGCAGGTGGCTCTCATTGGTTACATGGTGGGAGGTGCTCTCTGGACACCAGGACAACGCGGGCTGCTGGGCAGCCCATTCCTTCACCCTGGCGATCAGATTAGAACCTCGTCAGGCCAGCCGGATCACTCCTTCCAGCCAGCAAATTCCTTTTGACATGGGGCAGGCAAGGACAGCTTGGGCTAAAAGAGGCTGATGGAGGCTGGGGGCCTTTATCGTGCTGGGGTTCCGCCTCAGCCTGAGCCATACTTAGACAGTAGCCAGGAACTACTTTTTGAGGAGTCTTTTTAAGAATTTCAAGGAGATTTCCTTCTATAGGGCTAACCACAAACTTTTTTCTTTAAGTTTATTTTGTTTGGAAAGGCAGATTTAAAGACGGGAGAGTCAGAGACTTTCATCTTTCATCTGCTGGTTCACTCCCCAAGTGGCTGCCATGGCTGGAGCTGAGTCCATCTGAAGCCAGGAGCCAGGAGACTCTTCCATATCTCCCACATGACCCAAGGACTTGAGCCATCTTCCACTGCTTTGTCAGGCCAGCAGCAGAGAGCTGGATTGGAAGTAGAGCACCCCAAGAGGCATAACTGAAGGGTTGCTGGGCTTGTCACCTGCAGCTCTGGACCCACCTGGAGGGCCTCATCCGCCAGGCCAGCCTCCCTCACAGCCCAGGCTACCTTGGCCACCTTGGGTGTGTTCCTGGCCATGGGGGCAGCTGCAGGGAAGCAGTGCAGAGGGAGGTCCTCCCCTTCCTGTCCTCCCCCTCCTCCCTGCACCCCCTGCCTTCACTCGGGCACTTAGGGGAGGACTTAGGGGAGCAGATGGCCTTTCATGGACCCACAGGAGTGGACCCGGGCATTGGGGCTGAAGTGGAGGCAGGCTGGCTGCAGTGGCTGTCCTGTTGGGGCAGGTTAAGCCAGCAACAGACTGAGCTAGGGACCGAGCCCTGGGTGGGAAGGGCTGTGGGGCAGCGGGGTAACCGCACTTGCTTCTATAGGAACAGAGACCGCCTGGGGAGACACTGAGGAACCTGCCCAGGCCAGCGTGGAATCCAGCTCAAACAGGGACGTTGAGGCTCCAGCTGCACGCTTCCCCCCACCCCCCGCCCCCAGCTGGCCACAGTGCAGGGAAGAACGCGGGCGTGGGGTCTAAGGGCAGAAGTTGTACATTCCCGGCAGTCCGTCATCCCCAAAGGGAACAAACACCTGACATTCACTTACTCATACACTGCATACCACTTAGCACCCGCACGGGGCCCCAGTGACCCAAGTCTGGCTCTGTGTACAGGCCACGCTCAGCTCCAGTGGGAAGCAAATAGCGCCCTTGATGAAGGCGCGGGCTCAGGAGGGCCTCCAGCATGCAGGGCACAACCAAGCAGGGAGTGTCTGGGGCCGGGAATCCAGGCTTCCTCAAAGTCCATTTCCACCAACTTCTGCTCCGCTGGGCCGTCTTGCACTCACTAGACTTGACCTTGACCAAGGCTCTGGGCGACCCACGCGGGACAAGCACACAGGCACCAAGGCGCCGCTGCCACAGAGCACTGAAGGCTGCCCTGGAGGAGCCCCTGAGCTCCAGCCAGCCTTGCCTGCCTGGCTACTGCACTGCCTGGAGACCCCCTGGGGGTCCAGTCGCTGCCTTGCCAAGGACTTCTGGAGCAAGACAGGTGACAGAGGAAAGGGGACCCCATCCTGAGCTGGGCTGAACCCCGAGTGGGAGGAGCCAGAGGTTCCTCCAGGGGCAAAGCGGGCACACTGCCTGTCCCTGCTCCACGCCAAGTGGGTGATCACCGCCCATACAACGACCCCGCGCCCGGGTTCACTGGGCGCCTCCCGGAGGCCAGGCACTGGGTCCTTGAGGTACCCCAAAATCAAGCCCGGAGTCAGGGGTGACAAACACCCTCGGAGGGCCAGCTCTCAGCCGCAGAGGGGGGCGCGGGGACTCCTTCAACAACTGTCTGACAAAGTCCGGGGGCCTTTGTCGACACTTTAATTCGCGAGCGTCAGAGAAGACGGCCGGGGGACCGGTGACGGGGGCGCTCACGGACGCCCGGAGGGGAAGGGCGTGAAGCGGGGGGCCACGGGCACGGCCCCCCACCCTCGCCCCGCGCCGCCGACGCGAGCCGGGGGACGCGCCGGGCGCCCCACTCCCGCAGCCCTGAGGAGGCGCGTCCGGCCGCGCAGCCACTTTGTTCTCGGCTCGGGGCGCCCGGCGGCGGCTGTGCGCAGGCGCGGCGCGGGCGCGGGGGGCGGGGTCCCGCGCCGCCCCCCGCCGTCCCGGCCCGCTCCATCCGGGCACTGCCGAATTAGCATCGTGCCGAGGCACAACTTCGCCGAGGCCCTGGGAGATCCAGGCGCGCGCCGGAGGAAATATAGTCCCTGCCGGCGGGCGGCGAGGGGCGGGCGCGCGGCCTCCCGGCGCCGGTGGACCGGGAAGCGGGGCCATGCGCTGGGCCGCGCCGGCCGCCCGGAGGACGCCCGGTGCAACTTGCCGGGCCGCCTGAGGAGTTGGGGTGGCCGCCTTTCTTGCCCCTCACCGGCCCCCCGCTGCTCTCGCCCGTGGGGTCCCTCGGAGGCCGGGCTCGCCCCTCGCCCGGCCCGGCCCCCCTCTCGCTGCCCCTACACCGGGCCGCACAACTTCCCGGGAGCTGGAGCCAAAGTGAGCGCAAAGTGCTGCCCAAGTTCCCGGGATGGAGCTGCAGAGCCGGCCCGAGGCGCTCGCGCTGGAACTCGCACGCCCCCAGGTAGCTGGCTCCGGGGACCCCCGGCCGGGAGCGAGCAGTGCATGGGGAGGGGGGTCGCGGTGGAGCCCGGGCTCCTCCGTTCCCCGCCACCGCAGGTTCTCTCAGGCGCGCGGGGAGGAACCCGCTTCCGATGCTGCCTGGGGGCGGAGGGAGGTGCGCACCTGCACGGAACCCGCCCCCACTCCGGCCCCCGTCCTCCTCCCGAGCGACCCCGCAGTTTGGGGCTCGAGCGTGCGTGGGACGCGAGCCCAGCAGCCTCTCGATGCACGCCAGGGTCTACAGGACTAGGGGAGCCCTCCTCCCCCGGCTTGGTGAGGTTGCCCCTGAGATGGGGCTGCGTAGACAGGCCTCCCTCCCGGCTGTGTCCGGTGTCCCGCACGCCCCGTGCAGCCCCGCACCGTTTGCCAAAGTAGTTTTGGTGACGGTGGCTCGGGGCGAGCGGCGGCGACCGGAGTCTGGCGAGATCGCGGCGCGTGCTCGTGTCTGTGTGTGTGTGTGTGTGTGTGTGTTGGGGAGATTAGGACGCGACTTGAATATTTATGAGCTTTGCTCGACACGGACTCGCCGTGTTTACTTGGCTCTTTGTTCCTCCCCCCTCCCCCGGCACACACACGCACACTCGCACCGCCTCGCACGCGCACCCGACCTGCGAACTTGGCGCGGCTCGGGGCGCGCCGCCGGGTGGCCTGGGCCCCCGCCCCGCCCGCGAGCTGCCCCGATGCGGCGGCAGCCACAGGTAAGCGGCCCCGCGCGGCACTGCCCCGCCGCCGCGCGCGCTCGTGGGGCGCGCGGGAAACTTGGGGCGCGAGCGGCGTGTGGCACCGGCCTGAGCCCGCGGTTTCGTTTCTTCCTGCAGAACGGCGACCTCAAGAAGCAGCTCCACGACAGGCAGCCGCGGATCGCCGCGCTCAGCGACAAACAAGTGAGTGTGGGGGAGCCCCTGTCGCGCGTGGCGGGGAGGGCCCCGGGCACTTCGGTGGCGCCCTGGGAAGTGCGGGCCCGGGCTGCTCGAGGGGGACCCCCAAAGTTGCCGCACGCCCTTTGCGGAAAGAAAGGGCCGCTTGGTGGGGGCAGCGGGTGGGAGGGCGCACTGGAAGACGCGAGCCGCCGGCGTCCATTTTGAGAGGTGGACGTCTTTTGGGGACGTGGAGGCTTCTCCCCGTCGGGTCGCCTCCACTTTGCTCCGGGAGGTGGAGCGACCAGGCGGGTCGGGCCGCTGGATCCCTGGGAAGCCGCTCTCGGGCTCCGCGGCCGGGCCGGTGGGGAAGCCCGTTCCCTCCAGCTCTCCCTGCCTTCACTTTGCTGGCCTCACTTTTTTTATTCTCGGAATCTGACGCCAGCACCCGGAAACAAAAGAAAGGCGCCCCTGGGGCCCCCCGGTTCTGCCCCCATTTGGGTCTGCAGGCGTCAGGTGAGGGGGGCTCCCCGCGGCGTGGCGTAGCGCGGCCGCCGGCCCCCTCGGGTGAGAAAAGTTGTCCATTGTGACTTAGTTGCGCTGGGCAGAGCGCCGGGGGCCCTCGGCAGCACGCACGGAGGCAGGCGCTCGGCCCGCGCCCCCTCCCCCTCCCCGCGCCTCCCCTCCTTCTCCCTTCCCCTCCCCTCCCCTGCTCTCCCCTCCCCTCCCCTCCCTTGCCCTCCCTGCGCAGCCCTGGCCGAGAACTTTGAGCGCTCAGCCAATCTGCGCTCAGGACTGCGGGGCAGGCGGGGCTGGAGGGGGGCGCGACGCCCCTCTGCGACGCCGCCCCTCCCCGGCCCCTCGGCTGTCATCCCCCCCACCTCTCCCACCCCGCTTCCCCACCGTGGGCCACCCCTAACCATCGATCGCGCTTCCTCCGGAATGCGAGACAAACTTGGACTGGGGCTGGCCGGGGAGGGGGCGAGGACGGGAGGAGGGGGCTGGCGGCGGGGGGCGGAGCGCGCGGGACCCCCAGTCCTTTTAAAGTTGGGAAGTGGCTGGGGCCGGGTGGGGGCTGCTGGGGAAAGATGGCTGTGCGGGGTCCCGTGTGGCGCTGGGGTGTCCACCCCCCCATCCCTACCCGGCCGCGCTGGAGCCTGGAAGCTTCCATTCCCGGCGGAGGGGCGGAGCAGGGCTCGCGGGGAGGGGGGAGGGCCCGGCATTTCCATTTTGATTGCTTCGATGCCATTTTTGGAGGGGGAGGGGCGGGGAGACCCTTCTCGCGGAGCACAAAGATGCGCGCGCAGGGGCGAGCCCTATACTTTTCTTGAACGGAAAAAGCGCCCGCAAGTGTGGGGTCCAGGGTGACAGCTGAGGGTTCCCGAGCCTCTCGCCCCTGTCCCGCCTCCGCTTGTCATGGGTTGTGGGCTGTGCTGTGGGAGTGGGCGATGTTTAAACACGGGAGAGAAAGCGTTGCCCCGGCGCCGCTCCAGTGCTTCTTGGGGCTTGCGTGCGCAGCGGCTGCGTCGTGGACTTGGCGGGGCTGTGTCCGGGTTCACGCCCAGGGCGAGCTGGCAGGCGCCTGGACACCTGCGTGCAGGTGCAGCTGAAGGCGGCAGGTGGAAGCCAGGCGCCCAGGCTGCAGTGCGGCTCTTGGCGTTTCCATGCAGGCTCGGACTTTGTGTTTAGAAAGAAGGGGAAACTTCTCTTCCTGGCCTGTTGGGAATGTGTCCTCGGTGTCAAGTGGCTGAGAAGTACGCCTGGGCAGCAGCCAGGAACTTGGCGTTTGTGACTGCGGGTGGGGGTGCGTGGTGCTTGCTGTTCCCTTTGTGGGTTTTGATGTAGCAAGGACTCATAAAAGAGCGAGGGGAGGGGCCGGGCCGTGGTTCCGCGTGCTGATGGAGCTTCCTGGCTGCTCTGCCGCGCGCACTGAGGCTCTGCCCCCCCAGTGCTCTGGGGGTGCTGAGCCGGCCCTTGGGGGCGTTCGCTTGTGATTGCAGCCGGGCAGAGGTCGCAGGCAAGCGTGGGGGCCAGTGGCTCTGGCTGGACTGAAACTTTGCAGCCAAGGCCTTGCTTGCTAATCCTAGACTCTGGGAAGGGAAAACCAGTATGTGGGAACTGCATGTGGATTTGGAGGGGCAGTTCTGAAGAGGACTGCCCCTTGCAGGGGATGCCAGACTTTCTGTGATGGTGGCACACGTGGAGGGCGAGCTGGTCATTGAATGGCAGTCCGGTCACCCACGGCTGTTGGAGATCCTGACTGCGGCCGGCTGCAGCCATCAAGTTCCCACTGGTGCCTTTGACGCATTGGAAACGGGCATTTTGAGGGCTGGCACGTGGCTGTCAGTTCTCTGTAACCTTAGATTTTCTCAGGGATCATGAAGGCATAAATAGGATCTTGGCATTTACAAACAAAACTCAAGTGTTCCTGTACAGACCGGCGGACACAGAACGCCAGGGACACGGGCGAGTGTGGCCCAGTGGAGGCAGGCCGGCTGGTGCTGGGGTGGCAGGCGGCTCCTCACTGCCGGCCCCCTGCTTGGGCGAGATCGACCCCCTGCTTGGGCGTGTGGAGACTGCTCACCATTGTCAGGGAGACCTGAGCTTTGTGAGAGTTCAGTGGAGTTTGAGGCACCTTGGTGGAGGGGTGCTGGACCAGGCGCCTCAGGCAACCAGTGCTTCCTCAGGCTGCCAGGGGTGGACTTGGGGGACCCCCAGAGCTCCTCAGAACTGAGAAGAGGCCCCTGGAAGCTTCCAGAAGGCAGCTCATGGGGTGACGTGGCTCAGCCTCACCAAGGCTCCTGAGGCAGATTTGGCAGCTCCGTGTTTGTGTTCATCGACTTCTTCATCATCCCGCGTGGCATGATCAATACTGCGTGTGAGCCTACCAACTCACACATAAAGGCGTAGGCAGCGCCTGGGACTGCGGGATTCCAGTCAGCTCTCACTTCATGCAGCATGATGAGGGGAGCCAGCTCTCACTTCATGCAGCATGATGAGGGGAGCGTGAGGGGGGTCCCCGGGAGGCCTCCCGCTGTGAGGAGGTTTCCTGGAGCTCTCCTGCTGGAGGGGGGTCCCCGGGAGGCCTCCTGCTGGAGGGGGGGTCCCCTGGGAGGCCTCCCGCTGTGGGGAGGGGTCCCCTGGAGCTCTCCCACTGGAGGGGGTGTCCCCTGGTGCTCTCCTGCTGGAGGGGGTCCCCTGGGAGGATCCTGCAATGAGGGGGTCCCCTGGAACTCTCCCAGTGGAGGGGGGGTCCCCTGGAGCTCACCAGCTGGAGGGGGTGCCCTGGGAGGATCCTGCAATGAGGGGGTCCCCTGGAGCTCTCCCGCTGGAGGGGGGTGTCCCCTGGAGCTCACCCGCTGGAGGGGGTCCCCTGGGAGGCCTCCGAGCCTGCTGTGATTGCTATACATGAGAAGGAGTCAGGATGGCTATGACGCGTCAGCATATGGTTGGGAGGGCAGCACAGACTGGAGTTGGGGAGTTTGGTTCCTCTGTCATGGGGCTGGGGGCTGTGCCAGCTGGGAGGGGGCTGTGCCAGCTGGGAGGGGGCTGTGCCAGCTGGGAGGCGTGTCCATCAGATGCAGCCTGGACATGCACATGTCTTGTGGCTGCACCGGACACAACTTCCTAGGCCAGTTTTGTGCACCTCACTGGGCGATATGGGGTCTGTCTTGGGGCCAGCTCAGGTAGATTACACAGGCATGCCAGGAGCTCCCCTTGGGCCAGATGTGGGCGTTGGAATGTTAGTGGACCAGGCTTCCTGCCCTCAGACGCTCTCACCTGTGGTGGTGAGGCAGGTGTGCCCGACAAGGCCTGGGATATGCCAGCCTCCCCACCTGCCCGGCACCCTGTCCTCCTGGCATGTACTGGTGACTTTCATTCTGGGGTGTGGGTGGAGGAGGGACAGGACGCAGCCAGAAGAGCAGGGTTCAGTGCCTTACTGCGCGTTGGCCTTCACTCCCACAACCCGAGGCTAGCCGATACCTGCCGTGACGGAGTAGAGGGGGCCGCTTCAGCAGACAGACGTGAGCGTTAACATACACAGGATGTACTGGGTCTCAGGAAACACCTCTGGGGCTGTCTGCTGGGGAGGGGGCCCGGCTGCCTGCTGACCCTGGCCTGTCCTGGTAGCACCTCTGTCCTCCCCATCAGCTGGACGCTTGGGCCTCTGGGTACACCTGCTGCTGGACCTACGCGGTGGGCATCCGCGAACTCCAAAGGTCTCCCACGGGATGACTTCCCCATGGCGCTTTGTTGGAGCAGCTCAGGCAACTGGCCGCGGGGTGTAGCCTGCTTCTCCTGTGGTGCCTCTGTGTTTGGGGAAACCTGGTCCTGCATGCGTTCCCTGTTTTGTCTCACATGTGTGAAGCTGGTGAGTGCGTGTCTGCTCCCCGTGTCGTGCAGCGCACCCATGGTGTGCCCAGGACCCATCCTGAGCTGGGAGGTGTGCGTGTGGAGACCGCCGGGGTGGAGGAGGCCTCTGAAGGATGAGCCGGCCCGGCCCGCAGCCCTGTGCAGGCAGCAGTGCTCAGAAAGCGCAGCCTTAGTTCCTGAGACGGCTGGCGAGGGTGGAGTCCTCCGCCTGCCCCGTGCCCCTTGGTTTGGCTCTTGTTGCAGTGTGGGTGCCTTAGGCACACAGTGTGAAGGACAAACAGCAAGGTATGTGGACCCCGAAATGTTAAAGATCTGGGTGGAGGTGGGCCTTGGGTGGCTCCACGCCCCCGGAACCCCTCAGCCCGTGGACTTCGTGTGGCAGACTGGCTGGGAGGCTGCCTCCTGGGATAGTTAGTGGACTGGCAGGTTTGGCTCTCCCAGACCTTTAGGGGAGGCATGTGGCCAGCGAGAGGGGGAGCTGAGGCCTGGCGTGGGGCTTCGTGGCCTGAGCCCCTGCGTGGGCAGGTGTGTGTGGGTGAACGCGTGGCATAATGCTGGAGTGCTGTTCAAACGGAAACAGCAGCCAGCCTGGCCACGGCGGCCACTGCAGGTGGCCGTGGGCAGGATTTCTGCTGTCCCGGGCCTCCCACAGC